CCCTATACCCGTCGTTACGTTGTTGAGTTGAATTCCTTTTGGGGAAAACGTGATGTCAGTATTGGAAGAAGTGCATGAATTACTCGCAGGATCATTTCATCGGGCCAGGGACGTTTCCCCGGTCCCCCGCTGGAAGCTCCTGGTCCGGCAAGCAAAGAGGCTTCTGGGACAGCTTAGTGGGCACTGCCCCTAGTGTGGGTACTGTAATAGTCGGAGAGTAGGATGTAGAGCATGCCTTGTTATGGTAGGAGTTTCTAGTGGTCAATTGCAAATTCTGGGAGATACTATAGCGGTGAACAACGCTATGGTGACACGGATAGCGATACAGGTGGATCCCTCAAAACACCGCGGAAGGGACGTCCGAGTGGGCACATTCACCGTCAAGCCAGCAGAAGGTAGTAACCTAAAAGAAGGGTGTTCATAAATGGAAGCATTTGGGTCAGGTATTTTTGAATCAGAAACGTGTTACCTAAGTAGCCGTCAAGCGTCTCAGCTCGTGAACTTTGACCCGACTGTCTCGGCGGTCCAAATGTGCATAGTGTCGCCTCCAGTGTACCTCCCACCGGGGCATCATGTCGGTATATGGACTATTGGTAGTCGCTCTGTCTTGGCTATACCCTATGAGAAGACGCTAGGCATAATGGATGATGAGAATCTTCGGGAAGGGCACTGGTCTTCTATTCCTGGACAAGAGGTGATACCTGGTCGTGGAATAAGCCTCAAGAGGCACTTCAAACGGAGAGGCTGTTGGCGGGCTTATCTGGAGGCAGTACAGAGCGTGTCGCAACATTCACGGAGGAGTTCTGAGAAGAAGAGATCTTATGAGCAGTACGTCAGCAGCGGCAAACGGGTGGATGCGTGTGAGCCGCCTCCGCCGATACCAATAGTGGAGCGATTGACGTATGAGGATGACGTTGAACGGGAAAGACGAAGCGTTGAAATTAAGTGGGGCCCCAAGATGGCCCCTGAGCTACAGTGTGATTGACCGACACACCAAGTTGTATATATTCTCATACACCATAGTTATACTTATTACGTTGACAATACTATGACCATCTGAGGCTCGTTTCTGTCTGATCAGTTTGGTTGAGTTACCAAGTCACGACTGGGGTTTGGTCTCGATAGGGTACACGTTCGGGCATCGATGATATTTGCATACACCCATATATTGATACTTTCGTATCGAGAAGTCCGATAAAGTCTCCGGAAGTATCCACCTGGGTGACCCCACCTGGATGATGCGGGTGGTGGCACGACAGGAGTCAGTCAACAAGACAGTGGACACTAGGGACGGCTTATGGTGGGGCACAGACTTCTTATTCTCCAACCTGGGGGAATATTATAACTATAAGGATCACTCTCGTTAGCCTGTCGACTGTCTGCATCGCATAACAATCACAGCTCCCCGACAGCAGGACAGAGGAGCATCATTATCGTGATCAAATATTAAATGCTCCTATGGGATCGAGTGTAATGCAGGAAATTTGCTGCCCGCCTGTAAACGCTATCTAGATCTCGCATAGATCCGCCGTTAATAACGGCCCGTTATCACCGTTATCACTAAGTGACAAATGAAGATAGCAGCTAAATGAGGCTAGCTCTGTTGATAAAATATCCTGGATCGCCTTCCCATGGTTATGCTAGTGATTAACTAGCTGCTGGGGTTGAGAAGAGCACTAGTCTTAAAAATAGGACTTCTACTGTTTTCGAAGGTCTCGTCTGTGGATAGTGTTGGTCACTCTGGGGGGGCTGGTCTATTGTTGAAGATAGAAATGGCTACTCCGACCGCTCCTTCGTTTCTCCGCCTGATGGTCAAGGCAGGCCTACAGAGTGGTACGGTAATGATGATGGGTGATGCTGTAGCCCAAACGTTCATGGGAAATGAGGTAACAACAGCATTTTATATAGGACTCGGATTTTCCCATTACGATAGGCCTACTCTACGAGCAGATCTGCGAGATTTGCCCTTGTTGGTTGTACTCTACACGGCCCTTATTTTTTCGTCTGCTTCCGCCACTTGGACAAAATTTTCGGTCCTGCCGTGAACTTACGAACCGTCCTCATGAAAACCGCAGTTGCACAGGTGAGAACCATCCATCCAATGCTCGTGGCATCAGAGCACTTACGAGCCTCCGTATTGCTTCCTGTTACTGACTTCTTGTTGTCATTTTCCATTCAGGTTGTTGTTTTTCCCGCCTATGTTGTCGCTCTATTCGCGTACCTCGGTTTCCTCGATGGTGCCCCCAGCATCACAGATAACGTTACCCACAAGGCTCCACAGGCTTTCGTAGCAGGTTGTGGTTTCTGGCCAGTCGCGAACATGTTCGGATTCAAATTGTAAGTGGATCTTCGTTTTCCTCTTCCGGTCCGCTGTTCTACGGTCGTGTTGTTCCGTCATTTTGGTACTCACGGAATTGGGCTGAGTCGACACTATTGGTGTCATGTAGTTCAAGGTGTAAAGCACCACCAAAACGCCTATCTCCTTCAGTATTCCCTCTACAGCCCGAGTTCCCTACCTTGCCGCCTGTGGAGTGTTTTGGAATACCTACATCTCTTGGATGGATGCTCGCAATGATGCCCGTAAACAGCGCTCTACTGAGCAGCAAGAGTGACAATGTAATTATGTTCTGAGGTAGATGCTCGATTGTCAACATGTAGCCTTTTTCTGTAGTAACAAGTGTTTGCTTATGCTCAGTCTTATGGGGGATAATACCAGCTCCTCTTGTCGAGGAGTCTTGGAGATTACAAGTATATTGCTCTTACTACGATTCGCCACTTGGTATACCACGTATGACGACCTACTCATTCGTTCCTGTCCTGTATTCAACGACAGCCACCCAGAGGTTCTTCATCACTAGCGATGTTCGATCAGTTCGAATCGAGTAAATCAGAAATGTAGCCCGCTTCCCAACTCGTCACTCCACACCGAGGCATGATGTCAATAATTGTTCATTTCTCTATCAATTAACGATGAAGATGCATCCTGTGCTACCGACATGTCCATTTCTTCCTCTGTCGGCATCAGCGCTCTAGAAGTCTCATCAACAGGCTCAGCACGCATGAACGGCAAAGTAATTATGTCATTGTAGAGAAGAGTACCGAATACGCAAATCATAAAGCCAGCGAGCTGAAGCCAACTGTGGGCTGCCCAGGAGGTACCTGATCGCAAAGCTGACACGAGAGTTGGATACAGTCGGAGCTTTACCGTATCGCGAGCTCCCGCCTATGTAATAGAACGATAACTGAGCGAGCCACACAAGCATTGTACGTAGGGAATCCAGCATAGTCCTATGAATCTGAAGGGCTCAGTAAGGAACTTGCGGCGAGCAGCTGTCCTACTGAGGACAATCGTCTTGCAACTGTCATGCCGCTCAGGTTGAACACAGATATTGATAAAAAGTATGTAACCATCAGAGTTAGGATAGCAGAAGAGCTCTCAAGCTTATAGAGCGAATCCTTAGCATTTTCAAAAGAGCCATTATCCCGTCCTGGTAACCACGACATGATGCTAAGCACTACCAGCATCGACCCTATGCCCCATAGACCCTCCATCCCAACAACAAGGGATGACGGGCAACGGCGTGACTTCAACAACCGTTCCTCTGCTATCATCTGCATAGCGCCACAGAGCTGACCAAGGACGGTAAAGCCGATTCCTACGAGGGAGGCTGTTCCCCCAGTGCTGGTGCTAGCAGCAGACCTAGTGTCCAATACCGAGCTGATTCCCACTAGGGTGAGCCCTACTACCGTACAGCATACAGCGAATATCTTCGAACGGTGCATCGTACGCCCAAGTAACAGAACTGATAGAATAGCAGTGAAAACAACAATACTGCCGCGCATCATTTGCCACACTGAGGCAGTTATAAAGTTCATTCCAATTCCGGATAAACCAGTACCAAGTAGATCAAGAGCCGCAGGTGGAGCGAACAAGTACGGTGGGGTATTCCTCGATGGTCTTGGACTACCATCAGAGTTATTCCTATACTGGTAGTGTCTCTGCCTATACAGTACAACTAGCAGCAGCATGGACTCGCCGAGGAACATCGCTAAGTTTTGGGTCCAAGGCTTGTTGAAGGGCTCCTCACCCGAGGGGCAGCTACCTAACATGGTAACTGCTTTCTTAAAGGGCTATGAACAGCCGTTGAGAAATAACGAAGCCTCTCTATTCTACAGCAATCATGTAATGCATATCAGAAGCTCTTACCTCCGGTGTGCCTGGTGATACTTGGTGCACAGGTCTCGAACATAGCCTTCTTAGAAAGAGTATTCATGCTACCAGTCAGTAGCATCAGTGTCGCAACAGCCCACGCGGGTACTCGCCATAATGCCATACCAAAGGGCAATGCCTTGAAACCCTACATATACTCATGATAATAACTTTGCCGATCGACACGAGTAATGATGACGAGCCCAAAGAAGCGAATGACGCTAACAAAAAGCTATCATAACTTCACGGCTAGACATGAAATTGTCATCCTATGTTCCGGAAACTTACAACGCAGTGCTGACTGGAGGTGCCCAGAAACCAGGGAATAATGAAATCCGCCATATATATTTTACAGTACCACCGAAAACAATAAGCTACTTGACCAACATCACCACAAGCAGCAGCAGCAGCAGAAGTGGTGCGGCTAGCATTGTTGCCGTTACGAACAAATACTGCAACTTTCATTAATAATGGTAGTAACAGTTTACAAGGGGAAGAGCGATAAAGCAGCAACTATGTAACGACTTCTATCACTACCGTACTCTACCTCCGACGACGTCGCTTATACTAGAAAAAGAAGCGTTCCATCACTGATATAACAAACATCGACAGTAGTGGTAAATGTGGCCCGCGCTACTACAAGCAAGAATGCTACCAAGACCCCTCAAGTGTTGGGCTGAAAACGTAAATCTAGTTAAGTTCATTTACCAGTACTATTATCAACAGGAGCATTGGTATTGACAGCACCGGCCATTTGGGAATACGATCCAATGTCGTTTAGATGTGTTGGCGACCCAACAGCAGCACCAAACTCAGACGAAGACTGTGTTGTCGCAGGGGGGGACGGCGGAGGGCTGAAACTAGGCAGTCTTCTTCTTGCTTCTAAAATTGTAGCAATTTGGCTCAAAGTCCGAGACCTCGACTCGCTGTTATCGATAGACTCCAAGGGCTTCCAACCACTCAGCCCACGAGGGCGAGACTGACGACTCTCAGATGCCGGCTCGTTGCTCGGAGGTACCAACAAAGTACCAGCAGATGATTTCGTGTAGTGGCTATTCATATTCGTTGATGATGCTGATGGTGACGTAAGCGCCGACTGTGGTTGCTGTGGCACAAATGCAGGAGCGTCCGCGTCAAGACTAGGGGCTGGAATCGTCGGGAACGAATCCGTGATGCTGGGGAAGTTGTCCGGAGGCTCATCGACCAGCGCAGCAATCATATCCTGACCGCCAGTATAGGACCGAAGTCTGAGCCTGACTTCGTCTCCCGCTGTGAAAGCACTGCTATCAGCACTGCCATTGAGCTGTTCTAATGCCTTAGCGATCTGATCCAATAGCTGGGCTTGCTCGAGGAAGTCATCTGCCGTCATAGTATTGCTCATAGCCTTCTGGGATGTCAGCAGGCTGGGGGACGAGTCGGGCGCAGTTACCAAGAGACTCGGATTCTGGTTCAAAGCAGCAGCAGTGTTACTCAGAGCCGCCAAGACAGCAGCGTTAGTAGCAGCAGCAGAGTCGCCAGTGTACTGAACCTTCTGGCCACCACCAGCAGGCGCATTCATAAATTGAGCCTCCTTAAAGTCGACATCAGAGTACTCATTAGCTTTGCCCGTATGGAGACCGGGAATATGCCTTATCTCACTCCAGTCGTGGGCGTAATTACAGTCCGAACCATGGACACAATACCCCTGCTGGAAGTACTTGCACATTCGCGTCTTTCTGAAAACCTCGCGCTCGTGAGAAGAGCCCGCATCGCCAGTCCCATTAGGGTGAGATTCGGTAGAGCCAGGCGACGTCGGTGCCGTATCCAGCATTTGCCTACCGTTACCACCATGGGCGTATCCCCCCGAGCCTGAGTACAGGAAGACAGATGCAGAGGAGACTTAACAGCAACTAGCTTACGCATGTCTGGCAGGTGCCTCAGCTCACTAACATCGTGAGCATGGTCGCATTGGTCCCCATGGACACAATACCCCTGGAGAAAGTACTTGCACATGCGAGTCTTACGATAGAGCTCTCGATGAGGAACCCCACCACCGGGGGTCCCAGCTAGACGCTGGCCCATCCCCATAGTTCCGGTCGACATAACCTGCTGATTCATTCCTATGCTGTTGGAGGCATCAAACTGGCCAAATGCGTTTTCGCCGACTAGCTGGTTAGCCTGCTGCTGATGATTCTGTAATTGAGAAAGTGGCAATGACATTAGCGATGATAAGAAGCAAATCTGTGACAAAACCCTGCATGGATGGGCTTAGGTCTCACGTAAGGGCATCCACAAGGAGTTTGCTATCATGTGTCATCTGCGTCACACCGTGACGCTGGTATAGGCCGCCAACTCGAGCCGGGTCTAGTAAACTCTTCTGTCTATAGGCACAACCCTTGTTATGGTCGTCGACTATTGATAGCTTTCTACACGGCCTAATCGAAAAGCAAACGATAGATCATTGTTAAGTGGTGGGGCTGCGGTGAATGTCGAAAGAGAGAAAATCTGCCTTGCGCGAATCGAACTCACGACCTTCTCGTTTTCATATTTTTGTGGCGCGCGGTCACGTCAGAGCTTCAATGTTTCGTTACAGCAATCACGAATGTTATGGCAGGGAACATCAATTATGAACCACGTTCATATCGCACTGTCGCTAGCGTATGGTTGTATCATACAGAATGAGACATCCAGGTCGTCACGATTATTCCCCCATCGAAAACCGTCGCAATAGCGATGCCAGCACAGGGTCCAGTGTGGAGATGGAGGCTATGGGACCATCCACTACTACTACTACCACGACCACTGCACCAACGAGAGCCATGGTCAACATACCGGCTGTGGGACAGGCTGATCTCACTGTCCCTGGTATCCAGGTGAGAATCACCTGTCTTTCTGTGTCCTGTCAGTGGTCATTTCAGAGTCGATCTGACACAAGTCCAACCTCGGCCGAGAGTGGAGATGGTCCAGCTAGGTTCGTAATCATAGGAGGAGCAGGGTCAATGAATCAGTTTGGTAATATACCTATATTATCTCTATCATACTGTGTGTACAGACATGTCACCAACGGGTGGCCAATGGGACTTCGAACAAGAGCCCAATAGGGCAGCAGCATCGCTCCGCCTCTGTATATGGGCCATGTTCCTCTTTGCATGCATGGTAATGTTCAGAGTACAGCAGGATAAGCTCGCACAGGTAGTAGCTTTTGGTGGGGCGGCTATGCCATATGTCCCAAAGATATGCCTTAGTACAATAAATCTCACCGGAACGCTATATAGGACGATCAATCCCCTCAGCAAGTAACTCAAATTCCAACAAATTGCAGAAATCACTTTCGCTCTCTCGTGGGGCAGATATGCCATATGTTAGCAACTCTTTGATCGAACAAATGGTATCTTTCCCATACTATAGCATGTGCTCCCGCACGCTGTAAGATTCCGAAACATTCGGCTTCGTTATTGGACTTAATCACACTCGGGGATGGCTTGTTTACCGACTGAGAGGTTATGCGCTATAGTTGCGACCGACCGGTCGTTAACTTTTCGGGGACATTGCTCGGCTTTGAGTCTGCTTGGACGCACTCGCTGAGGACCTTTCGTCCTTTCAACAGGCTATGGCTAACCGTCGGAGTAATGTATTGCATCTGATGGCACCTTGGGAGAAGGCAAGCTTCAATGACAGGAATTCGACAGAGCTGAGAGCTGTCTATATAGATCCACGGTAAGAGAGCACCGTGAACTGCTTCGGTGATTTGATGACGATGTGGTATTCGGAAAGGAGTATGGCTTCTTTGTCAGATTGGCCACAGTGGCATCGAACCTTCGATTAGGCCAGAACCATGAGCTGGATGTGACCAAGCTACTACCCCCCAGATCGAACGTACCACCCTGGGATACCCGCTGGGTTGAATTTCGTGGCGCGTGACCTCCTCGACCACTAATACCGTCTGGCTTTCTCAGTCGTATATCCGCGAGCTGGACTCTCAGCGGTTGGTTGCTAGTGTTTTGGACGGTCCTTGGCGATCTACGACGTACTCTAACGATGACAATGAGTCTGTCGAACAGGCCGCTAGCGATGATGTAGCGATGTTACAGAGTATCGACAAGAACCTATACGCTGCGAATAAGGTCCCATCAGCTACCTACGAGGGTCAATGGACCTGCTTCCTCCTTAGGGCGTATCGGACTTATGCCCTAGTGGGGATAAACGCTCCTGCATGATGGCTTTATTGAAGGACAAGCATCAGAAAGGTGGGGGCATCGCTTTTGGAGGGCGACTTCATATGCACGGTTGTAGGTAGTAGCTGCTTCCACTTGGCTGCATCCCCCGACGGTGGTATTGCTGCATTTGATGTCGCCAAGAACGACACAGCTGTTTGCCTTGGTAGTGAGGAAGGAGTAGAGGTAATAGTAGTAGTAGTAGTAGTAGAACTGTATTTAATGCCGATGGAAATCCTTACAACGGAAATAGTTATCGCAGCTGTGCTGGTTGTATTCTGTCGATCTCTTGAGTTGATGAGTATATCGGACTGTACCAATAGGATGTGTGAGCTTATGCTCTACCCTACAGTAGAGGGGTATGGTCATCGGGGATGGATAACGCGTTTGATTACCTTGCGGGCTGCATGTACTTGCCGTTAGAAATTCGCAAGATATGCGCCGTTGACATTGTTGAGCGTTAGAATGGGCGTAGATTAGAGCAGCTCTCGCCACGTCCACTCCTCCATGGAAGTCTGGTAGATTCGAGCGTTACTGCCTGATCGGTTCTCCAACAGAGCAGTGTATGTATGGAGGCCAGCTGCAGATGATGATGAAGAGGAAGACTCTGGAGCATCTGTTGATTGCGTTACGACAGTGGATACCATCACCGGGCAGTGCATCGACTCGGTGCCTGTCCATCCGGCTAGTACTGGGGGGGCCACGGTACTTGTGTGGGATGTTCCTGGTAGGTTACTACGCTATGGACTTTCGAGAGGAGTCGGCTCAGAAGGGCAAAGGTTCGAGCCCCACGACCAAGTTGGTGAGTGTCACCTATGACTATCAACGGTGGCAGGCCGTGCTTCGGTACTGTACTTGCATTATCGTATCGTGCTGTAACGGAGTGTTAGGTCCTATGTTGTGGGGGGCAGTGAGGGGAAGCCTCCGGTGTCCAGCGCGCCCGAATTCAAATCGGTATTGTTCACGTCTCGAGGACCCTTCTGGGTATTGGATTCGCCCGAAGTGTCTGACGGCTTCGTCATCCTGGTGGCTGGCACGGAGCCCCAAATCGGCATCCTCCACGCAGCGCCGCTCTATGACGCTCAAATAGGGCCGGCCTCGAACCAGTGGATGAAACAAGGAGACGTTTTACGGTAGGCTTGGGTGAACCTAGGATACCCGAATGCTGATGTTGTTCAGGCGTGAAAACACCCGGTCGGCGTACTACAGACACGTCTCGAGTAAAATGGTCGATGATAGCGTGTCTGAGATCCAACAACAGAAGAGTAAGTGTTCCTGCCAAGCACTGCCGGCCCACTGATCGGGCCCTGCCTGTTTCTGGACTATTGAGTTTTGTTTCGAGAGCCTTTTGTATCCTTCCTACCTGTAACTTTTCGTTCATCGTCATCATCATCTCCCTGGTGCTCCGTGAAGCTAGTATGCAAATCCTTGGCTGGAGTCTCTCTCGGAACTTCTGTGAGTATTCAGCCTTCCCAGTAATGTACATTCGTTAAGACGACATTGTTATCTCGCCAGCTTTGAGTTTGGTTCGTAGTGCCAGTACTGGTAAAAGGCTCGAATGCGATACACTACAGTGGTGCTGAATGCTGCGAGCAAACCATGCAAGGAAGGGCCTCCACCCTCTGGTGTATCAAGTTTATAAAATAGCAAAGACCGGCAGAGCGACACGGCCTCCCCAGGAGGAGACGGCCCGGGTCCTCCACGCAGCCACTGCTGCTATCACGGACGCGTAGGGGACAGCCGTTGTGGATTGTTTATTTCTGCACTAAGGTTCACCCCGGATGACCTTAGCGTCTTGGCCTGGTCGGTGAGCAAGATGGGGCTTGGCTCTCCTTCCTTCTGGCGGGTAGTCATCAATCTTACGGAGGTCTGATGATACACCACTGACCAGTGGCTAGTGATCGTGTCTGGCAGGCGTATAGTCGGGACTTCACGCACAGAGCATCGGCACGTATGCTGGAGGCATTTGCTGGGTCAGGGGACCATTCAGGGTGCCGATCAGCGGCGGTCTCTGCCCTCGTGGACCAGCTCCGAGATCCTCCTCCTCCTGAGGAGGGTATCACAAGCCAAGGCGTATGCCAGTTCCTCCGGGCACTGGTGAAGCTGAAGAGAGTAGAGGAGATACCCCCCTGGTTGATCCAGCAGGGCCTTCGTCACCTAGGATCACAAGAGGTTATTCGAATCGGAAGCTAGCTAGAGGCTTCTGACTACCTTTAGACCGCTAACGGCTGGCGGTCTTTGGTGCCTCTTATGTGGCCGTTGTCGAGGATCCCCACATCTGCTGATGAGGCTGTTACCATAGTCGTTCTGCTCATACGGGGAGGAAAACTGGTGAGGTGGGGTCTACATGGACGGCCAGGACTGGTCTCCTCCAGGACTACACTCAAATGACGACGACGGATGTGGCTCTTTTGGTCCATGCGATGGCCAAGGCATGGAACACCTCCTCCCATGGGGACTGTGAGTCGCTTCCCTCCTCGTAATTGTATAGGTCTCTGCGGGCTTAGGCGATGCCCCGCCGCCTTATCGGGATGTGTTGTCAATGTTGGTGACTGAATGCGGCGTTCGAGGGTGGAAGGGCCTCAGCCCCCACGCTATAGCTGGCGTTATGTGGGCATGTGGTCGCTGCTGCCTCACCTCCCTACTCGATGAGTGCTCGGATGACTGGCATCCCCTTATGGGCGTCGAGCTGAAGGACTTCGACCCTCAGGCCCTCGCCAACTTCCTCTGGGGGATAGGGCGCATTAACAGGAAACAGGTGCTTATCTGTCGTTGATAATTTCGCGCGCCTACCTTAGATGTCAGCTCCCGTCTTGGCTTCCCCCGTCCAGCATAGAGGCATCCGTTTCCCACCAAAATCCTAAGGCAGATCTTTTCAGCCTCTCGATGACGGCATGCGCCCTGGCATATGAACAGAACGCCGACGTTGACTCGTGAGTCGCAACGCTCTGGTGTGACACCACAAGCATTTTAATAGGCTCTTCGATACGTTATGGAGGTGCGTGCGAGATCTTGTGCACAGACGAGCTCACAGTACGGACATCAGTACTGGTAACAGCTGATTGCTATTGAGTGTACCGGCCCTCAGTAGGCGCCGGCGACCTGGCAGCGTTGCTGTGGGCATTCTCCCGTCGAGGCCACATGGATGCCGTGAGAGAGATAACTTCATTATGCAGGGATCATCTACAGAGTTTACCAGCTGACCTTCGTGTCGGGCCCGAGCACGCCGAGTCGGGACCTCACTGGTATTGTTCCCTCAGGCTCTAGCATTGTGGGGCATGGCCCACGCTGGCCTCGTGCTTCCTCCCCATATTGGGAAGGATATCTTAGCTCGTCTCCATGAGGATACAAGTAGGTGCCGAGGTCCTCTCTTCCGCCGACTCAGTCCTCAGTTTCAGTGTCCTCATCTACGACCACGAGTATTGTTGCTCTCGGCCAGCTCTGCCCAACTCTGGACATTCCTCTTCCTCCTCTGATACAGTGCACCCCAGCCTCGGACCTTTGGCGGCTCGCTACTGTCCGGAATGCGTCCGTTGAGGAACGTCGCTCAGCGTTGAGCCTAGCATTGCGGAGGAGGACTGACTACACGTTGGCAGCTGCTGCTCATTATGCGAGTGAGGCGAGCACTTCTGAGTTCTGTGAATGCTCCTTCTGCTCAGACTGCATGGATCCTCAGTCGGGCTTTCTGTATCCTTCTCGATTGCGGCTCAACGTGCTTCAAAATCTAGTCCGATCGGTCGATCTAGCCAAATCGCCACCCCGACATCTGCCTCTGTTAGCGTGCTATCTGGCCGGTATAGCCCAGCGATGCCAGCCTGCCATGCAATTAGTTTCTGTGCGTTTCTGACACATAAGAGGGAGTTGAGCTGGCGAGTCGGTGAAGGTGGAGACACACATCCGCTGCTGTGGGTCGGAAAATTTCAGCGGAGGTGACCAGTTCATACAGGCTATCAAAAAATTGTCAAGGAAAACAGCATTCCCCAGCCTCAGTATACATCTTCTCAATGGGGCACGATTGAAGGAACTACCACTTCGAGTGTGCCAGACACAACGTGCCTCCATAGAGTGTCATGGCTTATGCATAGGCCAGAGTGCGAGGGCCCTCTATTGACTGGAACTTGTGCCTTTGACTTAGTGGCCGTGAGTTGCCCTTTATTCGAGAAGCTCTGGCAACGTTCGAATTCTATCTCTACAGACGGTTCGAGGATAGAAGGAAAGGGAAGTTCCCCCAAGGAAGTCACGATAGGTGTTTGGCTCTCTGGCGGGGTACCGGCCAAATTGGCCTGGCCAATGTTTCTAGAAGTGACCGACTTGGCGTCGATTCAGTGGTGGTTCCTCCTGAGGAGAGGTTGCTTAGGCGAGGTGAAATGTATGAGATTGTTGTTTCTGAATACTCCGCTATTTGGGTCACTGGCTAGACTTCAGGAACATCCTTTTCCCCTAGCAAAATAGTCATTCGAATCAACATAGATTGGTGTAGTAATCCGGTCGAATCCAATTCGAGTAAAGCACGGACGCTACGTGTAATAGATGTCCATGGCTTACATCTCTCCCTCAAACGATACTTTCCTACAGCTTCACTACTTTCCCCAGTAGATTGAAAAAATCACTTTAGTGCACTCAGAACACAGATCGCAGTCAAAGAGAGAGTGAGAATTCCGAAAACACGTCGCATGGTAACGTGTGTCCACCAAGCCTCTACGTTGCTTGTTATCATCCGGTAGACAATCACTACAAGAAAAGCCCTCGATGGTGGCGAGAGTGAAAACTTGTTAGAGCAGTGAAGATCAGACAATAGCCAACCAAAGTAGCTCTTGGGAGATTGTGATATCGATGGAACCGAAAATCACTACCACTGACTCTAATTATGAAGAATTGTCGAGTTGATGGTTAAGCCAAAAATGAAACGGTGAGCTGACGACAATGCCCTACCTCTCGACTATGCCAATGAGAACAGACATGCAGATATTTTAAGATGCTACAAGCACAATAGACCTTCAGTGAGCCAAATGTTGTATCGCGTTGAGTTCGAGACGAAATGTAAGAGTCGTGGTAAATAATGTCGACGAGCATCCCATCATTTTTTGGATGAAGTTCACTTAGAGATGAGAACAACCCCACCAGTGAGTCAGACGGTGGGATGTGTACAAGCGCCCTATGGGACAGCGAGGACCAGTGCGAGTAACGCTGACATCCGCTGACTATAGTAGGGAATTGGCTCGAGCCGTGTTGTACTTGACCAAATTGAGACATTCTGCCAACATCATCTAACGCGCCTGGATTCATCAATCACACTAGCCCGACAGAGAATGACTCCACCAGGTCGTGAATCGAATGAGCATACTCACAATCCTCGTCAGAGCAGTTGGAGCAGTGTAGGAAAATATGGATATGGTCAACTACATGTGTTGTTGATAATACGAAGTCTATAAAGAAATTTTGGAAAATTCTAATTGTTTTCCGTACACTTCTACCCGAATATGGATGCAAATTCATTGACTCGCTTGAGGAAAGCGAACATATATTCCAACGCTGAGCTGGGGCGCATACAAACCTCAGCCTTACACAGATTAAAACACCTCCTAGAGCTACATTGATCTCCACATCTGCAGTTCCCTCGAAAAAACTGTCAGCGAACCTAGGAAACGAACCGTGTGACGTCAAACCGGACAATGAACTCCCCTCACTTGAAATAACTAGTCCTTTTTGCTCGTGAAGGAGCTGCTGCCATATTCATGAAAATAAATGTGACCGCAGCTGTCAAGCCTTCCGACCATCTGAGTGGTTTCTTCTGTTGAGGAAAGACATGCGTGTGCGAGACGGGAGACCAACATGAGACCTATATACCGCAGAGACTGTGGATATCCCGTGCCACGCAACACCATCAAGTATTATCTCAAAATATGATGATAATAATAATAGTGGTGACACGTAGTCTAAAACACCATTCACGACGGCTCATCTACGCCGACGTGTGTACGATCGTTTAGTAGTGACCTGAATACACCGTTGCCATCACCAATGGCTGAAACTGTTACCCTCTATCAGTCCTTCTCATCCATGTCTGGCTGGAGGGACGGGAACTTTTCCAACATGTCGCTTCTGAAGCTCCTCCACCTCGGCTGCAGATAGCAGGCCCAAGACACTTGGAAGGCGATGAGGACATTGATGGTAGTAGCTGAGGGCAATCCATGCAAATCACCACTGTCTTGCGAATCGAATTACTCAAGTAAAGGACGAAGGTTCTTCCTCCGTTGCCGCCCACAGTGGGACCGATCTGAGCCGTCCTGAGCGGCGGTCCAATACGATTGAACAACACCGGAGTCGGCCTGAGGAGACTTCCCATAGTTGAGCGTATCATAGGGGGAATCCAAACTGCTACTCAAACGCGCCTCCCCATAGCACAACGAACATCAGATCGAAAATAGAAATTGGCAGGGGCATGCTTCATTGGCTTCAGAGGCACTAATTACTGCAGAGCCCACGTGTATGTCGGGATAAAGCTGCTCGGGGTAGCAAGGACTCGATTTCCCATGGGAGGGCCGCCGGGTGGGATGCCCCACACTCGTTGTTGGAATGACGGCACTGGATAGGACGGCACTGTGCCGAGCTGAGTGAACACGAAACACTAGGAAAGAAATGAATACGGCTGGGCACCTTGCGGGGGGGCTCGGGCTTATTTCTTGGCGGGCCCAAGGTCTCCTTTGGGGCAGCGAAGGAGTCATCCAGAGATAAGAAGGACGACGAAGAGACATCCAGAATCTGCAGAACACCTAATTTCACACCGCCGGAGTGAACTATATATTCTACCAAGGAGCTTTGATTCAAGTCACGAAAGCTCTGCAAGGGAGATTGCAGCTGGCGGTGATACCTATTATGGCTGACGAACGACTCGTGGAGAGATGGACTGAAGAGGAGTGTGAGATTATCGTTCCAAATACGACTCACTTACAAACCGTATGGCGGGGCGAGGCTGGTCTCCGATGGAGGTCGTTCCTTGGACACTCTCACTGTCACCTATGCGTAGACCATAGCAAGGGACATCTTGAGGGCGCTTACAGGCGTCCTTGAGGGCGAGTTCTTCACAGCTGACACACCTGACATGAAGGCCCCAAGCTGTCAAGAGAGGAGGAGCCCTGGTCACCTCGCTGAGGCGGGAAGCATACTGATAAGTTACCACTGGGGAGGGGTCGGTACTGCACCGATGGAGACGTGGCCACGAACGACATCTGCCCATGACGGAGGGGATGCGTTGAGCTCAGGCCCAGGGTACTTGAGATGGCTGGTCCACAACCGGAGGGCTGTGAACAACGCTTCGATGGAGGTATTGTGGCAAGTCCCTAGGCTGCTGGAGAGACGCCGGAGCAGCTACTTCTTGGTGCAGAGTCTGCTGACCGAACACACTAGCCTGCCTTGCAATAGGGACGCTACCCGCAGAGTCGGCACTCGTGCTAGACCGGAAGGTACGCCTTGGTCCCTTTGACGCGGCCGAGGAGGCGACTTGTGACGTCTGGTAACTTGCTGGGTCGAGGAGAGCTACAGGCATTATACCCTCGTCAACGATGGTGACACGATCGGCCTACCCGTAGCACAGGTTGTGGTAGAGGTGGCTGAGGGGCCCCTATGGAAGTACACAGGGGATGCGACAAGACCTCGGCGATGCTGGACCGACGACCTGAAGGAAATAGAAAGATGGTCACAACCCCCTCGCCGAGTCGCGACCCTCATCCCTGACCAACAGCCGGCGTACAAGGTCCTCAGCCACTAGGGGAAAGTCGATGGGGAAGGACAAGCTGAAAGGCCAACAGGAAAGACAACCTCGTGTAAGTCACCATCACTTCACGTTAATGATATTGCTGACAACAGTCCTCTGGTCAGTTGCATTGAAGGGTGGGCGTCCAGCCAGCAGCTCATATAGTAGAATGCCCAGACCCCACAGGTCTATGCTGTGGTCGTGCCCACGACCAAGCAACTGGCAAGCGTAAAACATCATGGAGTGTAAGAGAGCCATAGGAAATACCATCTCTGGAGAGAGGTAGTCCAGAGTGCCACAGAAGGTATGTCTTCTAGCATGACTTCTCGTAGTATAACCAGAGACTACAGTAGAGGGAAACTCGGCACACCAACCAAAGTCGGCCAGCTTCAGAGTATCGTCAGCTGCGACAAGTAAGTTCTCCTGTCAGCAGACTGTGAAAACTAGGGAACGGTGACCAAGGAGGCTACCGGTTTTATGTCACGATGCATGATACCGTGGGAGTGCAGATGAGCCACCGCTCGGGCGGCCATCAGGAAGTATCTGACGATGCAAGCTAGTCAGCGGGGGGATGAAATCAATGTGGGAGAATATGCACATGATCAACTACATGTGCTGGTGACATTACGGAGATTCGGGAAATTTTTGTTAGTTTCTGGGCAATTTTCATTGAATTCGTGTGAACTTCTATAGTTAGTGAAGCAAGCGAACGACTGCTCCAATACGGGACATGATACTCACCGAGCCGCTCTTTCTACAGGGAAGCGCCGTTTCTGCTGGGTCCGCAGGAGGTGGTAGAGTTCACCTAGGAGGAGGGGACACAGGTCTTGTCAAGAACGTGGCGAACAACATTGCCCTACCCTTGGCACAGTATTCTAGTAGTAGATAGACGTGCTCCCTGTCCTCAAAATGGGAGTAGAGTCGGAGTATGTTAGAATGTGCCGGTAGCCGGGATTGAACCGAGATCTCTCGCTCCACTTGGGCTGGTCGGTACAGAGTCGCTACTGATTCGACTAAAGGGGCCCACCTGCCAGGTGCCCTTGCTCAACATCACGTTTACGGAGAGTTTTGAGGGCATAGAGACGGCCTGTATAAGAGCCTTGGGAAGGGCGATGGGCAACGAGGCCCTCACCAGAGGGGTCACCGCGGATCTTGACACACAGGACTTCACCAAAGCTACCTTTACCGAGCTTCTTCTCATCCTTCCGGATGTCACGAAGACTGGTGTTTCGGGCAAGTACTGGACGTGGAGGGGAGTCGTCGGAGTCGCTCAACGTTGTGTGACCCGACAGGCCTCCACCGTGCCCTGACCACATGCATGCAAGTACATCATCAGCGACATGCCTCGGACGAACGCCGTCCCGGCCCTAGTCCTACCTATAGTCACTTTGACAAGGTCGTCCAAGGTGATACCATGCAGGGCCGCATCGAGTGGTTGCGCATCAATACCCCTTATGAGGGTCGGAGAGAGAACCATTGACCATTCGTGGTGTACCACGCAAACCATGCGTTCGCAGATTTGACCTAAGTGCACGAAATGCATGAAAAGACTAGTTAGATCCGGAAAGTAGTCGGTCGCACCACGACTATGGTTTATAAGGATTTACCACGTACAGGGGGTGCCCGACCGTCGCCTCCACTCATACGTGCACTCGATGCCCTAAGTCGAGGAGAAGACCTGACCGTTGACGAGGTTGTATCTTGTAGTAGGCACTCGTCCGCCCTGTTCGACAGTGTTACTCCTACTATGGGGTTATATACTTGGGGTAAGACCACTAACCTGGCCTTGGGGTATGGACAGTTCTCCCATAGTGCTGACCAGAACCGGGCAAGGCAGGTGGTCTTCCCCAATGGCGAGGTGCCCGCCGCTATCTCCTGTAGTGCCTTCCACACAGTATGCGTGTGCGAGTCGGGCTATGTGGCAGTGTGGGGCTTTGGTCAAGGCCACAGGCTGGCGACCGGTGATGCTCAGAGCCGTGTCGACCCTGTGCTGTTGGGCTCTGGAAGATTCTCTGGAGTTCCCATCACGAAGGCCCTAGCGTCAGTAGACAACTCTATGTTCCTAGATGCAGAAGGGCATGCCTACTTGGCTGGCAGCAACAAGTTCGGCCAGTGCGGTCGATCCCTACACGTGGACGTCTGCAAGGTCCCCACCATTGTTAAGCACCTTACTAGTCCCTGTTGCGATATTGCTATTGGGGATAAACACTGCATGGTGGTAGACGCTGACACTCAGATGGTCCTGGCTTGGGGCGACAACTCTGCTGGCCAGTTAGGGGTCGACTTCACGCAGGCCAGTGTCGAACCCCAGACGGTCTCTCGTCTCAGGGGAGT